GAGAGAGAGAGAGACATAGAGAGAAACTGAGAATCTGTAGTGAAAAGTCGTTGTTATTGTTATTATTGTTATTGTTGCTGCTGTAGTTGATGTTTGGTGTCGTCTGTGTTGTTTTCTTGTTGTTGCTGCTGCTGCTGTTGTTTTTGTTGTTGTTGTTGCCGATACTATTTATGTTGTTGGTTCTGTTGTTGTTGTTGTTGTTGTTGTTGTTGTAATGTTGTTGTTGTTGTTGTTGTTGTTGTTGTTGTTGTTGTTGTTGTTGTTGTTCTTCTTCTTCTTCTTCTTCTTCTTTTTTTTTCTTCTTCTTCTTCTTCTCCTTCTTCTTCTTTCTTCTTCTTTTTGCTACCTACATTATTATGACAGTTACTAAAGTTCGTGCTAATGTAACTGTTGCAATCTTTATTGGTATGTGTTGCTGCTGTTCTTACTTCTACGACTGCTGTTGCTACAGATTTTAAAAGTTCGGCGACCTGTAGAGAGTAATCACCTGTGCCTGTATGGTTGCGTTCCGGGCGCCAGACATGAGCACATAGATGAACTTCTTCTGGACGTTACGCCACTCTCGACCTCTCAGTTGCACGCCGAAGTCCACTCGGTCTGGGCGAGGTCTGTGGATGGAAGGACGTGACGTTTGGGTCAAGTCCCGGGGGAATCATTTGTAAACATTTAGTTTGTTTCCATCTGTGCTCAAGCTGAAAAAAGAGATCGATCGCTCTGGAGATTTATTTAAAAAAGACAGTACATCCAGTTTGGGACGATTTTACCTGATAGTTTAAAGCATGAAATGGACAAAACTGAAGTGTCGATTTCACCTGATAGTTTAAAGCATGGCTCACATTTCTGCCTTAGTCTGGTATTGATATCCTAATTAGTAAATGAAGCGGGAAAAGTGTTTTGAAGATATTCAAAGCAAAGGTAGCTGTGAGTCACAGCTGATATGTTGCGTTGTTTCTGGTTGACTTTTTTTCTCCTGAACGTTTGACGAAACTGGATATGTTGTCTTTTAAAATTAAACTACGAATGTACTGTGTCAAGACGTAATGGAATCATGCGCTCATCCATTTTGGACCTTACTGGTGTAGAGTTAAAGCTTTGTCTTGCTTTTGACGCCAAAATATACCCATATGTCTAATACAGAAGTCGAGAGTATAAAAGAGGAGGTCACCTGATGTTAGAGGTAAAAAATAAAAAGCCAGAAAATGGCCGCCAACGTTTGGTGACCTCTATAACTAGAGTGTCTTTGGAAACTGCAAACGTGTATTTGATGAGCCTGTAATCAATATTTTTCCGCAAAATCCTCAGAGAAATAAGTTATAACTGCATATAAAGGGTACTAAAACTATTATTTTAAGGCAATAAAAAATCCTCCAAGGGGGGGGGGGGTTGATTCCTTCGATTTCTTTATTTTGATGTGTGCCTGACTTGACCCTAATGCCTCAAATTTGGTGGAAAATTTCTATTTGCATGTGTGTACTTTAATTCCAATGTCAAGTCTGTGCTCCTCTACGGCAGCGAAACTTGGAAGACAACAAAGACAGTGCTGAATAAAGTCCAGACTTTCATCAACAGATGTTTGAGGAGTATCCTAAGAATTAAGAGGCAGGATAGAATAAGAAATGAAGAGCTGTGGGAAAGGACAGGACAAAAGGATATAGAAGTAGAAATAGGACTAAGAAAGTGGTGTTGGATGGGACACACCTTCAGAAAGCCCAGCGGAAACATCACAAGACAGTCACTGCAATGGAACCCACAGGGAGCACGAGGCAGGGGTAGGCCACGAGAGACATGGAGGAGATGTGTGGAA